CGGTGGCGGGGCAAGCGCCACGAAGGTCAGCCCGTCTGGCTACGCGGCGGAACTGTGCTCACGGATAAACACAGCCCTCGACCTGGCACGTTCCAACCTGTCAAAAGCGCGAGCTGGTCAGAAGGCTCAATACGACCGATCGCATCGGGAAGTCCGTTACGATGTCGGCGATCTCGTCCTCAGGCTTTGAGTGCCGTCCTGAGTGACGCCGCCAAAGGCATCTCGGCCTCCCTTTCGGCCAAGTGGTTGGGCCCATACCGAGTGCACTCCAAAGTGTCGCCCCTGGTATAGAAGCTGGCTGATTCCCAAGGGAGACCAGTCGGCGGTCCGGTTAACGTCTCCGACCTCAAACCTTTCGTTGCCTGCAGCAACAACATCGGGGAGGGGGAGGCGGTCACCGAACCGCAGGGAAACCGGGATAAGGCTTGTTCCAAACCACGCCACCGGTACAACCTGCAAAAACGCACCTAGGCTGATTTTTCGCCCCCGGCATGTAGCGGGACGTCATCCCCTCCATGTAAAGGGGCGGAGATTATAGCTGCTGTGCGATTGCCCATCCAGCAGCAACAATAACGATTACCTGGCGAGCTTTCTTACACGCGCTGCGCGCGGAATATCCACCCGGTCCGCAGCGCTCCCGGCTGATCGAGAGAGAAAAGCCCTTCCCCGGTGGCTCACTTTCTCACTGGGTATCTTCCGCGTAGTCCCCGGTAAAAGGGAAGCGCACGCCCTATTGGCTCCTGCAACCTTGAATTTGACGGAGTAGGCTCTCTTTATTGGGCCAGTCTGTCGCCCCTCTGGGGCCACACCTTCAGTTGTGTTTCTGCTTTTCACCGACACCCCAGCGTTCGTGATATCCTCTTTGATGGCCCGTTTCTCCAAGGGAAAGCCCGGGAGACCAGCCGCGCGCTCGATCGTTCCGCAGGCACCGGCCGCGTCCATGCCGCCTCCATCGAATGCTCCCCCAGCCCCGGCCAACAAGACATCGCCTCGTCGTGAGGTCGCCATGTGGACGTTCCAACAAGGCACTGAGGCCCCGGTCGCCTTCATGTCGACTCGTCGCTGGTCCAAGCAACTTAAAGTCTGGGTGGGGTTAGACCCCGAGTCCATCCCGCGTCCTTTCCGCAGACGCACACTTTCGGACCTGCTCGAGGCTTCCGGAGGTGCCTCGATGCCGCCTGTTACAGAGGCCTCCCACTGCGACGCTTGCGGTGCCCTGCTGGTGCACAAGGCTACCCACCTGCGTTCGCGGGTTCACGGAGCGACGTCTGGCGGTTCCTTTGCGGTCCTGTCCACACCGGCAGTGCCACCTGGCCCGGGCCTCCAACCCACTCTGTCGACCGACTCCATTCAAGCAGTCGTAGCGGCCTCGTCGCGGACTCTTCATTCAAGTCGGTCATCACTGCTGCGGTGTCTGCCGCCCTCCCGCGGCCCCAGATTCCTGCTGAGACGCCGCCGAACGACGACACCGGGGCCCCCGACGACCTAGTGGATGGTACTGAGCTGGACCTGTTTTTTCGAATAAAGGTGTCGGTGGATCCTTTTATTATGGTGTCTTTAGGGCGGCCTCAATCTTAGGAGGGGGGATCTGGGGATCGAGAGCCCCTCTTACCTGGCGCCTCGTTCCCCAGCTGCCGCGCGCGCGCCGACCACGTAGCTCGGGCGCACATAAGCACCGGCATTTGCCAAGATGGCTGCCAGGGCGCCTCTTGGTCTGGGCGAGTCAAGTATCGGCTCCCTTCCGCGCTGGCATGTCCGGGCACGCTGCACGGGTCTACGTCACAACGCAACGCCATTCCCCTTTTGGCTGCGCGTGACATCCTTCTCTCCTACGAGCTATGTTGCGCCTGACGATTCGCTCGTCGCGGCAGATGCTCTCAGGCCTTCACAAGGGGTTCACGCGCTGCTCGGCAGGCGGCTTCACGTTCAAGCGTTCGACTTCGGCCCTTGTGCGTGAGTCGTCGCGCCGTAGGCAAGCGTACTTGCTCGGTCTTGCGGAGTTCCCTAAACGGCCTGCAAGCCTGCAAGTGTCGCACTGTGCTGCATATTGGGTTAATAAACCCGTTGTTGTTGGTATACTGTCTCGTGCGTGGTGTCTGCGCCATGTCGGAGAACACGACGAATCCGGCCGCAGCGTCCTCGCACGCAGCGGCAGTGGAGGACGTCGCATCCCTAAACGGTTGCGCTTGGTAAGTAAGCCTAGTGCAAACCTATCTCCACAATACTTAGAACTCAGTGAAAATTTGAATACTCAGAAATAAGTTCTCTAGCATCGAAGATGGTCGCGGTGGCAAGCATACGAGAAGCAGAAGGAATGTGAACATTTTAACGGGCGCGTACGTGAAATTGCGGCCGCTCTAGCATCTTCGCTTGAACTCTTGAGTGTGAATTCTCATGAATTGATTTTTTTATTATCGACCTCAAGGCGTGTTCTTCTGGCCCCTTAAGCCCCAAGCGAGTGAATTTTCAGTAAATTTAGCCAGTTTAATTTGCTCCCTTCGATGCTAAGTGGGAACGCATCTTATAGCGCCAGCAGCATGAGTGAGGAAATCGTGGCATTTTTTTGAGAGGCGGTGAAAGCAGGATGCAGGAAAGTTCAAAAAAACATCATGGACTTTTTCAGCAAAAAATAGTTGACCCCAATAAAGTTGCTCATCTTCATGATCAGCTTTAAATTGTTTTTGGTTCGTACGAATTCGTGATGATAAAAATATTTTGCATACTCCCTTCGAATTCGTATCATTGAGATTATACTGTATACATACATCACGAGAAGTTTTTGATCATTGAGACACTTGGTGTCAGGTCTTCATCCATCATAGTGCAGCTGGTGGATTTGATGTGCTCACGAGCTGTAGTAGAAATTTTTTCATCAACGATGTTTAGCACTCAAAACAAACATGCTACTCATTGACCTGCAATCGCAGATGACGATCATGACGTGGTCAAGATTGTGTTGGCATGATCGTGGGTGACCTTGAAACTCTGAAAGAATGCAGGCATGTAATGTGCTCCAATTGTAAAAGTAATAAATTGCTTGCCCCAACCACTGTGTTGTAAAACAGAGTAAAAGACGATCCCAGGTAGGGAGAACGCAGCTCTGAAAGCACATAAGCTATGAATACTGATAAAAGGCAACGCTGTTACGACGGCACATGTGCAGTAAAAGCAATATTTTGCTTGCCGCGTCTGACATACTAAACTCCAGTAGATATGGTCACAGATAGGAAGCAAGGCAGTTCTTAATGCGCAGGAAAAGCAATAGTACTTTGCTTGTCGCTGCACACCCAAACTGCATTATATATTGTCGCGGGGTCGTGATGTGGCCGAAGACAGAAGACTTTGTGTCGGAATTTAACTGTTTATTTGGGCGAACCTGTGCCCGGTAAACGGAAAGTCCGATTACCGTAGCAGTCTTGGACTGATAGCGGCGAACGGAGCGTCGGCCGTCGATCAACAACTGCCAAGCGGCGAAGCTCGTCGGCATTTAAACTCTTGCCGTCGAATGTTCTAGCGTTATCGCTGGCGGTGGCGTAGGTTCCAGAATAATCTGTACAGTTCGCAGAGTGGGCGTGATCTTATAGAAATGATCTACTACTGTCCGGAAGCTTCTCGAAAACTGCAGGCGCAGTTTGCGCTGAGAATTGTGTAGTGTTTTGGGACGATAACAAAACTTGGGAAATAGAACGTGGCAATATGTTGAGAGATACAAAAAAAGCACACAATGCAGCTCTGAATGCACATGTGCAGTGAAACCGAATCCCCCCTGGCCATAACTGCTGCATACTAAACTGTGCCAGGTACGGTCATGAATAGGAAAGATAGGAATCAAAGCCGTTCTGAAGGCCTGCGTGCAGAAGAAGCGATAGTTTGATTAGCAAAGGTAACTGAAAGACCACAAAAAAAGAGGCAAAATGGAGTGGTACTTACCACTGTGAAACAATGCTGAGCTCATGTATATCAGAAACATGTGTGAACCGTGAAACAATAAAAAATAAGCTCCTTCAACAACAGTAATATACCGCTTTGTTTCCTTTCCCCCTTTGTACGAGTGCACTTTTGTACTTAGATGTGTATATTAGGTCGATTTTATGTAACCCTTTACCATGCCGCTAAAACTGTACACTTCCTTCTATGTTGACTTTCGAACACCTGGTTTCGTCGTTACTGTGTTTTCTTTCTTTCTTTTTGCTTTTGTTTCATTATTGAACTTGTTCCATGCACGGTTTTGTGCGATGTACCCACTCCTGCTATAGCCCCAAGAGGGGCTGCAGTATGTTAAAATAAAAAATAAAAAAAATAAACACCTGAATGCAATGGAGGTGCCATCCCCTTGGAATTTCATCAACATCAACACTCTTGATAATCGACATGAGTGTGAACTAATGCAGTCACCATAGTTCAAGCACCATTGCTTCTATGATAGCGCTGATCATTTTTTTTTGTCAATAATCTAGCCTGAGATAACCTAGGGCCCAATCATTGCACATGTTCATGCGCATAAACATATGTCACTTGAGTATTCAGGGTTGCCCATAGGCACACATAGGTGTCAGGATGTCATCAGCACCCAAAAGCGCTATTCCATTCTTTGAATGAAGTTATTCAAGGCTTCTTTGTTTCACACCATCTCAGGGTTTGGTTGCACAATTGGGAAAAGCATCGAGCCCACCATAATCCAAGGTTGCAGGTACAGTCCCTGTCTTTTCATCCCCTTTCTCCCCATCCAGCATATCACAATTCACTTACAATACACTTATAGCGTCCCCTATACTTTTCATAATCCATAGGCTTACATTAATGCTATTTCATACTTTGACTATTAGTAGTGCGTTAATACGACCTAGTTATATTTTCTTCAATTAATCATGGAGAAAAATAAGTTATTTTAAGACGAACACATGGTAACAATACTTATATTAAATAAGACAAAGCATGCTGCTGTCTTAAAGTAATTCAGAACCAACATTACAAGTGTGCAGGACAGCTTAAACACTTACGCTGGAGAACACAAGGGCTTTCGCACTGGGATCATCAGCCTTGATTTCCAGAATGGTCTCTATGATGCCACCAATCTTTGTGGTGTGGCTGCCCTGAAATGAGTCACATTTGCAGGAATGAGTCACATCTAGCGGGGCACAGTTTAACCAAGCAAGCAGAATCATGGCCTTAAAGACTGCAGAATACAGTTCAAAGGCTGTTGTTGCTGCTGTTCTCCACTGCTTTCGCTCTGCTACTACTGGTGTCGGCGGCCGCGCAGTATAGGTGGACAACGTTGAGACGGTAACAGTGACGTCGAAAAGACCGCTTTCAGGCGCAGGTCATTTAAAGTGTGCTAACATGATGCGGACCAGTGAAACATAATTTCATTTCAAAATAAGCACTTCCTTGGCACAAAACTAGCACTACAAGGTTTCTAAACTATCAAGAATCAACATCCACATAATATTTGCCTTTCCTTTTAACTACATTGCTTGTTTTTTACTTCAGCCTGAAAAGTAAGGTGGAAGAATTTGCTCCTTTGCTGTCTGCTATGCGACCTTCCATTGTATGTGGAACTGAAGCTTTGTTGCATGAATCCATTGCTAATTATTTTCCATGTGGTTATCAAGTTTACCAATCACACACAAGGTGACGGGGTCTTTATACTTATCCTCTATAGAGTGGTGAACTGTCTTTTCATTATTCTGAGTTTGTTAGGTTTGACAAAACAATAGAAAGTGCTTCGCAGAGTGTTCGCTCTGCCGACCTCCCAGTTATACCCCTGTCACACGGAAGTGTAATGTCATTTGCAGCGAATGACATTCATGAGGAATGCCACTGCGAGCTTGTGCTCAGGGTCTACACAACCACATAAAATGACATTCGCAATTAATGTCAATGTTTAACGACAGGCTGCTATAATATCAAGAAGTTGGCGCATTTATTTACATACCATTGTCCGGCTGGTTCCAAATGTTAGTGCGACGTGATAAAACAGCATCAGTAGAAATGAAAATCCTCGTACACATTCAAAGCAAGACTAGCTTTAAGCCACTCACACCTTGCAGTCAGCAATATTTGGAACCATGATAGCATTCATGAATTTGTGATCACCATAAATGATTAGTGCAAATGAACGTTCATTGCTCTCCAGCTGCAGTAAATGAAGCATCAGAACCGAATGAAGCACCTCAAGCTTGCCATTGAAAAAAAATCACCGATGACGGGGGATCTGGAGCTGCGTCTACACGCCTACTCGTTTACGTTATGCTTCAGTTTCGTAGGCGATCAACAGAGAACTGTGGTGCTTCTAAAGAAAGAATAATTCGTTGTAAAACACTCTTCCTAAGATGGTGTCCCACACTTGCATGTGTATTCTGCTACTAGCGAGTCTAACCCGGCAACGCTGCATCAAAACAACAGCGAGCGTTTTTAAATATCGCCGACAGGAGGCGCCATAGCGTCAAGTCCGAGTCTGGAAAAGAGAATACAGCTGCACAAATGGCTTCTACTATCGCGCTGTACGCTAAAGACTTACCGAAAAGTTAACAAAAACCTTTAATAAACATGAGTGAATTGCTTACACTTGCTTTAAGTTGCTGATTTTGTAATCTCTTGTCAAGCACCTCTTGACGAGATTACACATGTTGCGCCTCCATGAGTTTGGTGAAGACATTCAACGGGCAAATGTCATTAGGTGTGAATGTCCTTCTCTGTACTAGTAAAGCAGCCACAAAAATGACATTAACACCTAATTTCACTCGCAGCGAATGACATTACGGGTGCCGTGTGACAGGGGTATTACACTAACCTTGAATCATTCGATGAGTTATCATAAGTTTTAAATACCATAAAGTGTGACTTTATTTTTAAAGGCGACATTAATATGCCCATGGTAGTCTGGAAGAATGAAAAACCTAATCAAATTCTCTAACTCACTATCCTCTTCATTCCCAGAGCTCAATTCGTTTCTGAGTGCCAGCATTAGTTTCTGCCAGCATTCTGGATTTGATTTCTGCTAACTCTAAGGTGTCGCTCCATAATGCAGTTGTAATCTCAAGTATTACCGTCACTACACTGTTGCCACTTGCATCACTAAGAGCAGGCCACAAACAACCATGAAAGGTATGACCGAGGTCACTATGCATCGCTATCTCAGGAACTTTGTTGCTTCTATCCTTATTTTTGTCAACTCTCCCAGTCACTGAACATGAATGAATTGTGGTCTGCTTTTGGCGATAAACTAATGAACTCAGCTAAATATATTTCTTCTGAACCTTTAGTAAGTCATTGCTATAATAACAAACCATGGGTGAACGAGAAAATTCGAGCTGTAGTTAGCAGAAAACACCCCCTTTACGCATGCCACATATTTGAAAAATTGCAGACAGACTGTTCATGAAGAAATGCATAGCTTTGGCTGCAAAATAAAATACATTCTTAGAGAAAAAACACAGGCATACATTTTTTCACTTGATTTAAAGTTCAAAGTTGATCACGAAAAATTCTCGAAATTATATATTAAAGTTCACAGCAAAGCGGTAAACACAATAGCTTGATCTATTATTCAATGAACAAGCAGTCTTTGATGATTACGAGAAGGCTTGTGCTTTTATTTTTGTTTCAAATCAGCGTTTTTCAATAGGTACACTAATAAGCTCCCTCAGATGCCAGATTTCCTTTACTTTTTTATTTATTTTTTATTTATTTGATACCCACAGCGCCATAAGGCATTACAGTGGGGGGAATACAATATGATTACAAGACAGAACACTAGCTCAATTTGCGGCAAGTACAGTACAGCCTAACCAGATAGTAGGAAGTACACTGAATACACAACGTAACGGAGATTGATATAAGTTGACATTTTGATCGATATAAGTTGACGAGAATAAGTACGAGGTTACTGCATGCATAAATGGTCTTAAGCAGGTTGCTGACATAAAATCAATTCATCTGGAGGCCCTGACATCATACCAACTAATGTATGCCCAAAGCATGCCCTTAGGAAATTACAAATTTCTTGGTCGTCTTAGTCAACAAAACCCTAGCACAGCAGTTCGGTTCAGACCGCCCGGAAAGCAGCAGCTGTTCTTCCCAATCATAAAGGTGGTCCCAAACATTCTATAAAGAACTACAGACCGATCTCGCTTACTTTTGTGTGCTGCAAAACATTAGAACATGTAAGCTACAGTGCCACGATGAAACACCTCCAAAACAACAGTTCCTTTTCGTACACTCTACATGGTTTTAGAGCTGGCTTATCCTGCACAACGCAATTGGTTGAATTTCACCATGATCTGCTTTACTCCTATAATTCTGAATTTCAAGTAGACTGCATTTTTTTCAACTTCAAAAAGGCTTTCAATACTGTTTTTCTTGATTTATTATTGCAAAAGTTATCGTCTTTTTGTATTCACCCTAATATAGCTGATTCGTTTCGAAATTAAATTACCTTTCTGGAAGAATGCAGCATGTTTTGCTATATGGTGTTAGATCAACTGAAAGAACCGTCACCTCAGGCATGCCACGGGTATCTGTTTTAGGACCTTTGTTATTTATGGTTTACACCAATAATATTATACAGGGCCTATAATGCAGTCTCAGATTATATGCAGATGACCGTGTCTTTTAGACGACCATAACAAACGAATGCAATGTTAATAGCCTACAAACCAATGTAAACACAATTACAAGTTAGTGTTCCAAATAGTGTATGTTTTAAACAGTGCTAAATGTCAACTTATATCTTTGACCCGCAAACATTTCGCTGTGAGATCAGACTATTATTTGGGCCATATATCACTTGAACGGGTGCAGCATTACAAATATCTTTTTTTTTCAGAAAGTCTGAGCTGGGCTAAACACAATATCCCTTGAAAATCTTTCTGGATGTTTAACCTCATTAGGTGCAATTTTTATAATGCACAGCATTAAAGCACCCTAAAAGCATTAAAGAAGAACTTCAAAATGTGAATGTTTGGCGCAGCATGGGACCCTGACACTTTCTGTCTTAACGATAAACTTGAGCTTAACCAGAATCACACAGCCAGGTCTGTCACTAATTAATGAAAGACATCCTTGAAAGACAGCCCCCTCCATTCATCTCTACACGTCGTAGTAAAGTTCTGTAATTCTTTTTTTTTTCCCACACTTGAACAGACTTCTTGAAGGTTAAACATTATCCCTATAGTTCTTGCATTCTACTCTCCCACGAGAAACTACCTGCCTTTTTTGCTTCTGCTATTACCTTTTTTGTTGAAGATGATTGCTTTGTCTGCATGTGTTACCACTCATCTGCACTATTTCCACTGCATTGTATTTAGCTCATATTTTCATCTTTGTATGTGAATCACATATATTTTGTTACATAATTACAGTAGACTCTCATAAAACAAAACCTCAAGGGACCAGGAAAATGTGTTCCATTCTGCATTTACTGAGAGGTGAACTGGGTTGCAGCATTCAAGTATGAAATCAATCACCTCAGAGGCAGTTCTGTTTACCAGATTTTTCTTTACTAAAAGCCCATTGTATTTTTTCTTGAATGGCTCCCTGCAGTAATGCCCATGTGGCACTGCAGGTACTGGAATGAATAAAAAAAAAATAGATTTAGAGACATGTTGCTGCATTTGCATTAGTGAGATACCCAAAGAGTAATCACCTGCAAGCTGAAGAAAACTGAGCTAGTCGATGGCGTGCTGAGAAAAAAAAAAACAGAACAGGGCAGCATTGTGCATCTTGTGATTGACGGGGCCCAAAGAGCCTAGGTGTTACGCAAGATGTAGGGCGGTGGTTGTCTGGTGCTGGCACTGACCTTGACAGAGAATCTGGGGTGTGAGGTGGTCGGCGGGGCAGTGTCGACGTAGAATACGTCTCCGTGAGCACAGCTGCTTCTGCAGACGGCGCACAGAAGACTGCCACTGCGCACGCACGACAGGGAGCTGCACACCATCTTGATGCAATCCAGACAGAAGTTGTGCCCACACTGCATCACACTCCAACGACGGCCCAGGGAATTCTGGCAGATAGGGCACGGCTCCGGATTGAACTCACCTCTGTGGCTGCCAGCCTGGGTGCAGACAAACATTGCATCCGTCTACATATTTATTTCCCCTCCTTTGGTGAACAAACACTTACAGCCAATCCTGTAGCTTGAAAACTGCACTTTTAAACTAAGTTTTCATGAGCAGACTGGCACCATTTCATCTGCAAGTGATGTGTAGAGATGTTGAGAAATAGCTAATCCCTGAGGATGGTGAATATATCTTCCATGGAGGTGAAAATCACGAATGTTGCAATTATGAAAAAGCTGTTGAGACTTTCTTGCTGACTGTGAGGTTTTTTTTTTTTTTGCATCTGCAATGTATATATTTATGGCCAAAACAAAACTCGTCATGTGTTGGTGTTCTGGCAAGGACACAAATGAAGCTTGCAAAATTCAAGCTCAAACTGGATGGTCAAATACAATGAGCTCACTACAGCATGAAATCGAAGCATTACACGTGAGCCATGTCATCTTCACATTGCATGTGTAACGAACATAAAAAAAAAGTAGAGTCACTTAAGGGCTGCCCATAAACCACATAGACGTAAGAGATTGGTCGGAGGAAGGCTGGTGGCACACCACCCGAGCCGAGAAACGAAATTCCAGAGGATGAGCTGGCACTGTGTGTTGGGATACCGAGCTGCAAAGATGTGGGAAACGAGCATCGCTACGGCAACGGGAGTAGCATAACCGCCTGGTTCTGAAGAATGTCAGCGTGAAGAGGTTCGGGAAGTGGCCATCACAAGTGAGGTCCCAGTGAGGCTGCCCGGACTTGCTACACCCATACAAAGCAGTTCCTGGTAGACTTGCAGTTTCCCCACATCGCATTAGGAAGGAAGCAGCCCACACTAGTCAGCCGAGTGGAAGCGTCAGTGGGGGAGTGCCCGACGAGCGGGGCCTGGCAAGGCGGAAAATTGAGACGAAGATTGGGACATTGGCGATGAAGAAGAGCGGGACATGCGGTGGGAGCAACTGATAGCGACCATAAGAAGTAGAGCAGGCCGTCAACGATGGAGGACTTGGCCAAACGTCGATACTGCACGGGGCAACGGGTCGCAACACGACAAGCTGTAAGAACCATAGAGTTTCTCACAAAAATACTTAGAGGAAAGAGTGGCGTCATCATCTATGTGAATTAGCGTCTATGCACCACAGTCTATGTGTGGCGCCACCGTCTACGTTGGGAATGACAGTATATGTGTCTACGAGGCTTGTGTTGGCTGGCGTTGAGTGTGGCTTTGGCTCAAAAGCGAATACGACTGTGTAAATAAAGCTTCTGTAAAACAAAATGTTTATAAGCGGATCTCATTCATGAGTAATATACTCTAAAATAAAAGGCCACTTACCTTGACGCCACAATGAAACGGCAAAAGAAAAAAACAACAACATATAAGTGGTGGAGGAAAAGCTCCTTTTGTCGTCTGCCTGCCAAGTTCAGCGGCCGTTAGTTACTTTTTACGCTTCGTAAAATTGTACATCGACTAAGAAGGTTACAGCCTTAAATAAAACATGTTTCTGTTCGATGACAAAAATAAATAGCTCATTACGTGCTCCTTTAGTAAGAAATCAATTATTTTAACGTGAAGCCAGGCGTGTCTTAGAGGTATACAAATCCGAGTCAAGTTCGAAGCTCACATATCCCATCATAGCCTTGCATCCAGCAACTCACTATCGCCAGATTTTCCTCTAGGTAGGTTTGTGAGAAACTCTATGGTAAGAACATTCCATTGTCAATGCCATCATTCATTTCATTTTCATTTTATTTCCTTAAAGACCCGCGAGGGGGCATTACATAAGGGGTGGGTAATTATAAAGACAAAACATAGAAGCCAAAGATTTAAAATAGAAAGTGTTTATTGATATTTTCAATGAACGATTATGGGCAGAGAATGGTTACAATCTCACTGGGAAGGCCATTCTAGTCTGGTGCGGTACGTGGAAAAAACGAGGCGAAAAAAGTAGAAGTCCGGGAACGTGGCCGAGCTACTTGAAGCAAATGGCTCGTGTGGTGAGATATGCGTGTTGTGGGAATGATATAAGGTGGGGCTTGCAAGGGACTATGAAAAATTTTGTGCAACAATGACAGGCTGGCAATACGACGGCGAAGTTCTAGATCTGGTAAACCAGATTCTGCTTTCAATCCAGATACGCTGAGAGTGGAAGAGTATGAACAGTGAACAAATCTAGCGGCCCGGTTTTGAAGCAATTCGATGGCATGTGTAAGATAAGATTGTCGAGGGTCCCAAATTGGCGATGCGTATTCTAGTTTAGGTCGAACGATGGATTTGTATGCTTGTAATTTCACGTGTTGTGGAGCGAAGCTTAAATGTTGTTTAAGGAAACCCAGTGTTTTATTTGCAGATGAAATGATATTAGTGACGTGTATGTTCCATGAAAGATCCCTACAAAGAGTGACGTCCAAATACTTGTATGACGGAACATTTTCTAATGGGATGGCACTAACTGCGTACGGATCCACAAGCGGCATGCCGCGGCGATGGAATGAAACGACTTTACATTTACTCAGGTTAAGTTCCATGAGCCAGCGCTCACACCATTCCTGGAGGCAATTTAAGTTGGCTTGTAAGGATGACTGTTTTGAAGTGTCAGTAACAGTGTCATATATAACGCAGTCATCAGCAAACAGGCGGGTTTTACAGGTTAGGTTTGAAGGCAAGTCATTTATGTATATAAGGAATAAAAGGGGACTAAGAACCGAACCCTGGGGTACTCCGGACATTACTGGAAGAGGATTAGAGGTACGGTTGTTGATATTAACAGACTGGGAGCGGTTTGAAAGGAATTTTTTTATCCAATTTTGTATGTTCGGGTGAAGATTTAACTGGGAAAGTTTTAGTAACAGTCGAGAATGGGGTACTTTGTCGAACGCTTTGGAAAAATCTAAGAATACGGCATTGGTTTGTAAGTTACAGTCCAGGTTAGTATGCAAATCATGAACAAATAAGGCCAGTTGCGTTTCACAAGAGAAACCTCTGCGGAACCCATGTTGTGCTGGATGGAAAAAGCTGTTTGAATCAAGAAAGTCTACGATATGCGTGTAGATGACATGTTCCATGATTTTACAGGTCATGCTGGTTCGAGATATGGGACGATAGTTTAATGGCGAGTTTTTGTTACCTGATTTGAAAATTGGAACGACCTTCCCATTCTTCCAGTCATCTGGTAGGCGTTCTGTTAAAAGTGACTGTGAGAAGAGCAAGCATAGAAAAGATGCACAAATATATTTTGTATTCTTAAGAAATTTGGAGTTGATTTCGTCAATACCAGAAGAGGAGGAAAGTTTTAATTTGTCGATCAGGCACATAATTCCATTAGCAGTGAACGATACTGGTGGCATAGCACATTCTCTAATAGTGGGTGGTATTGTAAATGACACGTTACTTTCTTTGGTAAACACGGATGAGAAAGCGGTGCTGAAGACGTTAGCGCATTGATCATCAGTGAATACGTGACCCGATTTACTGGTAAAAGTGATTGGGGCGGTATGCCGGGGGTTCAAAACCTGCCAAAATTTTTTTTGGTTTTTAGCATGCTAGGTAAGTCAACATTGAAAAAAGAATTCTTTGCGTCTTGAACTGCGCATAAATAAGCTTTTTCAGCTGCGTAGTATTTCTGCCACTTTTGCGGTTCTTCTAGTCTTTTTGCTTATCTAAACAGGCGTTTTTTTCTTTTTCTTGTTTTATAATCTTTTCAGAGTTTTAGAGAACCATGGCTTTTGGCAATTTGCCTGGAAGTGGGATTTCGGAATAAACCTGTCAGTCAATTCATTGACCTTGTCTTTAAACAGTGTCCAGTTTTCTTCGACGGACAAGGAAAAGAAAGTAGTTTCTAAACTGGATAAGAATGCGTTGAGCCCCAAATTTATTGCTTCATGATTCCCCTTGTCGTACAACCGAATGGTTTTCTGGGTATTTTGACGAATTAACGGTTTAAATGCAAATTAGGTATGAATGACCTAATAGTCACTTTTTTGGCGGAGATAAGTAATCGAGACCATGTTTTCTGGATGACTGGTTATATTAGGTCCAAAATAATTTCACACTCTTGTGTTACGCGTGTTGGTGCAGTTACCATTTGTAAAAGATTAAAATTTAAACAAACGTCCAGGAAAGCCCCGGCTTTGCCTTGTGCCTGTGACAGCATGGTTTGGTTAAACCAGTTAATACCCGGAAAATTAAAATCACCGAACAAAACTACGGGGGCGTTGGGATACTTTTTTGTAATTTCGTTTAAGACGTCGGTAAGGTTATTAGAAAAGTCAGGACAGCTATTCGGGGGCCTGTAGCAGACGCCAAGTTATACTGACTGGGGCGTGGCAGAACAATGAATCCAAATTATTTCAAGGTCAGATGACAGGTTAACTAACAAGCAGGTTATTTTTTGGTTTATGGCAATAAGAACTCCTCCTCCCTTCTTATCTTTTCGATCCTTCCGAAATAGCTGAAAATTAGGCAAATCGGCCAAGACCTCTTGATCAGAGACGCTGTCATTTAACCATGTTTCGGGTAATATAAGAAAGTCGCTGTTGGATGACAAAGCCAGATTCGAAATATGTTTGCGCTTCGGAATGATACTTCTAATATTAGTAAAGATCATGGAAAACGAAAAAGTTTATTTGGGGACAATTTGGGGGGAGGTTCGCTTTGGTCGACGATGGGATGATTGCTATTTTAGTTCTTTCACAGACTGCGATGTATCGTCAAAGACGTAGCGTTTAGTTCCGAGAAAGAGGGTTTTGAAGCGCACAGTGAAAGCTGCTGACTTAGTTCTTGCAAAAGCGATTAGATGTTTGCGCACATGACGTAGGGCAGGGGAGAAGTCCTCGCCCACGCTGAAGCATGTGTCCTTGAATTTGCGACCGTTGGAAAGGATAAGTTCTTTTGTCTTGGATGATTGGAACTTTACAATTATGGGTCGAATGCGGTTTTCTGAGAAGCGCCCGAGGCGGTGCGCATGCTCAGTTTCTGAGGGAGGAATCGTTAGTTGGAGTGTGTCACAGCAAT